AATCAATCATCAATACAATGAATACAATGATATACACAAGGTATCTCTACAATGATGTACATAAAGTATCAATTCAATGATGTACACAAAGTGTATATTGAATAATTAATACACAATGGGTACAATGATATTCAATGATAAACAATGATATTCAATCAATGATGTACGCAAAGTGTATACATGTATTTACACAATGGGTACAATGATATTCAATGATATGCATTGATATGCAATGTTATGCAATAATATACAATGACATTCAATGATATACAATGATATTCAATGATAAATGAATTGCAATGAGCAGGTAGCAATGTATTACAAAGACAATGGTCTACGTCGACTTTATCAATAGTATATGACGTAGAATCAATAGCAATGGCACAATGACGGAAGCTCAATTATTGGCCACTGGCCCTGGAAGATAACAGGATCAGCAGCAAGCTTCTAGCAAAATTCGGCCATATGTCTTCACATGGGAGCTAACAAAGCGCGGCATGTGAAGACATCCGCCACATGCGGCAAATTTTGCCCATGCCATGACAAAAGTGCTATTCATTACAATTATGCAAAATTAATTACTGCTTGATATATATGCAGTATACCGTAGAACTAGGGAAATTTTATATGAAGATCAATAATATATGTAATGATCGATAACTTTTCAATAGATCAATAGTTGCAAAGATCTATAATATATATAATGATCAATAACTGTTCAATAATTCAATAGATTAATAGTTGCAAAGATCAATAATATATGTAATGATCAATAACTAAATGGAAATGGTAGGTGGCACTGCAAATTTTGACAAATTATTTTGATTATGTGACACTGAATGGTATAGAGGATAATGGTAGAATGTGCTATATGAGAAAGATTAGACACCCTCTGGATACAATTTTGATGAGCCCTGTTGAATATTGGGGTAGTGACTATACCCCCACCCCTTGTGGTAATGAACCAATATAATGAGCTATTTATCCTAATGCAAGCCTTGTGTGACACCATGGGCCTGAAATAATTTCTTGGCAGTATTTGTGACCCAATAAATTTTAACCTTGGTATTAAACATAATTGAAAACAAGACAGTCAATTTCATAAACTTTTGTAGATGGCAAAGGGACATGGAACCAATACTATTACCCACAATGAATCATTATGACATGTGGGTTGTTGTATTATGACACCAGAGTTTGAATATTTGAATGGTTGGACCTTTTTCCAGGTCATTCCTTGTCGACCAAACCATCTGATATGGATGTTGTATTGTTCTAAATCCAATTTATCTAAAATGATGAATGTGTGGTTTTTTGCATAATACTATTAAAGATGATCCAATAATCCATACCATGACAGAAGTGCCTGCAAACTTAGGATAAATCAAAAAACGGTAAAAAGGTGTTGTCAAGTGTCTGACTGACTAGAATTGAATGTAAGTCTGAAATGCATGGACTTCCAATAATCCATACCATGACAGAAGTGCCTGCAAACCTAGGATAAATTAAAAAACGGTAAAAAGGTGTTGTCAAGTGTCTGACTTACTAAAATTGAATGTAAGTCTGAAATACATGGACTTCCATTCTCCCTTTAATCTTTATATAATCTTCAGACAAGCCTGATAAATTCACGTGTGTAGCACCCCCAATTCTAAGAGTATTACCCTTAAATGTTTTAGTGTCAAAGCCAACAAATGAAATAAATTTCTGTAGCATTAAAGTAAATTGGAATGACGAGAAGGCTTCACGCCAAATTAAGCAAAAAACTGAACGTGGAATGTTGGGCTTAATTGACAAGTAGCTGTGAAGTATTTCAAGTAATGAAGATGTTTCTTGGTTTGACAAAATGTGGAGGATATATATACATGTATAATTATGCTTTTTTGTATCTATCCATTTAATTGATTAATTAATTAATTTAATTATATCTATTTGTTTATCTATTTATTTATTTATTTTTATTTATTTATTTATTTATTTATCTATTTAATCTATTAATTAATTAACTTATCTATCTATATTTATTTGTCTATTTATTTATTATATTATTAACATAATTTTTAAATTATGGGCTAAAGCTGCATTGTGAAATCTTCAGCTACATGCCATATTTCCTGATAAAACTTTACTGTTTAACGAAAATTGAATGAGAAAGGCCACAGCATTGAACAATACTGCATTTGAAAGGTGGGCTTCTTGAAATTGACAATAATCAGCCAAACAAATTTTAACTCTTTACAAATGTGCTCTGGGATGAATATGTTTTGGCATAATTATTTTTGTTACTTCATACAAATGTATTTCCGCCATTTCCCGTGTATCTTGTATATTATTTTTTGTATATATTGTACATATCATATTGTTGAACTTCATGTACCATTTATAAGGTTTGAGTGAATAAATTGAACTTGAACTTGAACTTGGCTTGTGGAATTTTTAACTAGAACAAGAAATGTTAAATTAGTGGTTGGGCCTTCAATTTTAACCTGAATTAATTGAAATTTCTATTTCCTGACAAGTTTGTTAGTGTTAAGGTAGTTTCTAACACACTAAGAAATCCTTGAAATTTATTCGTTTATCTATTTTATGTTAAATACGTTGTGTGGCCTACAATTTTAAACTGATTTAATTGGAATTTCTATTTCCTAACAATTTTGTTGAAATGTTTAGGTAGTTTCTAAGACACTAAGGAATCCTTTGGATTTATTTATCTATTTTATTTTAAATTAGTGGTTGGGCTTTGAATCTTAATATGCATTAATTGGAATTCCTATTTCCTGACAAGTTTATTTAAATGTTTAAGTAGTTTCCAACACTATTTATTTATTATTTATTATCATTATCATTATTATTATTTATTATTATTGTTAGCTACTGACTGACAATCCAATGGAGTTTAGATGAAATTTTTCCAAACGTAAGACATCGTCATTGAACACCCAAGGAGCATGCACTTATAATCGTTGGACACTGAATATTTTGCTCAAGGAAATCATTCCATTTTCCTCGTAACTTTTAGGGATCGTAAAATAACATTTCATGCATTATATTATACAAATTCGTCATCATAAAATACTTTACTTTCACTACAGTATAAACATTTGCATTCATAATATGCAAATGAAATTTGATTTACAACACAAATAGACATCACAATATACACAAACTTCACTAAACACAAATCTTACCAAATCTATGGTATATGAACCTGATCTGTAGATGGTTCCCTTCTCAATCAGTCATAGCTTACCCTCAACTCTCACACTCCCTGATCTGTGACTCTTTCTTCAAAAATATTTCTCAACCAGTGTAAAACATGGAGGCAAAAACAATGGTGGTGGTGATCGAGGTGATGTCAATGCAAAAATAAAAAAAATAAGCATTGAATAAATAGCATATATCAAGACAAGCACAAGTGTAACAACAAGACTGTCAAGAGATCAGCTGATTGATGCACAAAATAATTCAATTAAATGGCAAGTAAATATTAACAGTTAAATTAACAAAGTGATAAATGCCACTATGGTTGAATGCGCAGAAAATGTCTCTCTTAAGGTTCATTCACAGACCAGTTCCTCGCTGCACGTAAAAATTAAAACAATTTTACCGACACATGTTTACACGGAAGCCATGATGGATGGAATATTTTGCAGTCCGAACCCGATGATATGTGACACCGATCTATGTCGTGGCGGATCCAACAGGCACGTGATCACTGCATGGTGGCTATTGGTAATGTCCAATGTATGTGGGCACCATTTGTAAACGTTGGTTTAAATAACAACGAAAAGTTGGTTTCGATTTCACCAATGTATTAATATTCGCAAACAAGAGTTCATCTACTGCGATGGTTGCTGCACACGTGGTTAATTTCGTCGTTGGGGATGTTGATACTTTAGATATGCTATGATAATAAATTAATATTTTCACATCGGGTAATATGGATGGGCGCTTTGTCCAAGATCTATTTGCCCTGATTATTTTCATATTTCCGACCTTGGACGGTCAAAGGAACACAAGATGAAGATGAATATTGTTGAGACTTAACGCGATGCTGAACTTAAATGGATGACGGAAGATGGAAAGGAAGAGCAAATGCACATGCGTAATGGATGTTGCTAAATGAAGTCAGTGCATTTGAGTGAGAGTTATCTTCCCTGAACTTTTTATCTCTATTTGTCTCCATAACGGGACTTAACTCGTATTGAGATAAGTCGGATTAAAAGGTATTTAATTTTAAGAAATATTGAAATATTAAATACTGAGTAATATTTCAGCAAAGCCGTCATTATTTGAAAAAAAAAGATTAAAAAAAGAATTATTCTTGGGGATAAATATGCAGAGGAACACAATGATTAACAATTTTTTTATTAATACAGATAAATATTTCTTCTGGCTTTTATACCGTTTTATAATTCGAATTTACTCATTATGAATGAAAAATGTCATTCAGCAAATACGTTCTTATATGAAATCATTTAAAGTTTGTTGGTGTAAATTGAGCTTAATGTATCAAATTTCATAAACATCAACTTACACTTACATATACAACGTACGCAAAACAGGGGATGTTCACTCCTCCTGGGTACCTGATCCCTTTGCTGATATTTTCAATGTTCCTTGTTTTATGCGCTTTTGATATATTTGTATTGTTACGAGTTTTAGAAATCGATCACTGTATGTTTCATTATTACATACTTTGTCTGTTTCAAATGGAAATTAAAAGAAACAGATAAAAGATTATCCATATTATTACATATTAAAGCAACATATGAAATAAAGCTTTATTTATTTATTAATAAGCACACACAAATTGACATGCAGAAATAAAAGAATAATTTGAGAGAGAGAGAGAGAGAGAGAGAGAACGAGAAAAAGAGACTGTTTTTAGTACAATTTTGCTCTACATAAGTTGTTACATGTATAACATCTATATATACATATATGATACATATATAAAAAGAAAAATAAATCTCTGTAAGAGACAAAATCGATAGTGACACTTTACTCAGGTATCCGTAAATATAAATTTTATTTTATTAGAAAAGATCTTGAATAATAAAAGATACATATGAAATACTATTTGAAAATGGCGACGGTCTCTACCTATTTATGATCATATTTAATGAAGAAGCACGTCCCAGAAGTTGACTTAGACATATCTGAATCTTGCCCAGAAGCCCCTTGATACATAAGTGGAGTGTGTCCTAAATAGAATCAACATCACTCGGCCGGTGGAGGTGAAGATTCTTGTGGGTCTTGTTCCACAGCAGAACCTGAAAATAAATATTTCATTTTCTTTATATTGCATCATATCGAACAAGAACAATATATCATTTAAAAACTGTATTCCTTTTAAGCTTTTTCTCATTAATATTTACAAATTGGAACATAAAATACATCTTATATTTAATTCATTTAAGCAATGTATTTCATATTTCTTCCTAAATTATGTTTGTTTATTATTCCAAAGTAGAATTTTTAGAAAGAAAACACGTGAAAAGCAGTAAACTTAAGATGTTAAATAATTTCTAAATTCTAAATGTAAAGAAAAAGAAGTGTCCAGTAAGTGTAGTTGTCTATACATCTTAAAGGCAAAATTTAATTTCGATTACCTTGGTCCCGTGTTAGATAGACTTTTGTAACGAACCTCTACAAAGTCTAAACACCGTGTGTTGCAAGTAATACCAAAGGTCCCAATGAACTGGAATCGAACACGTTTTCCTGCAGGTGCCTAAAGTATATTCATTTTGAATAAATATTAGAATTCTTCATTCCTTAATAATCAGTTTTTTTTGTTTTGTATGAGTGTGTATTTATTCAACTTATTTCGCCTTTCCTTTGATATTGAATGAGAAAACATGAGTAAAATACAAAGGGGTAAGAAGATCTAATTACTTTAAGCTACAATATTTCATCATGAAATATGATATTACTAAAACTAAAAGTGATCGAACTCATAAAAACCATAAATTTTACAAATATGTGAAAAAAGTCACCGACCCCTAGAAATTTCAATTGAGGATTCAGGTGTTAAGGAGGAGAAAGCATCCCCTATTGACCAGTAATTCCCGACGTGAGCCCCATGTATTGATCAAGAAAACGGAAGAGTTAAATCTTAATTTGTACTAATGTGTTTATCAAAATTATAACAAAAACGTCATCATTTCAAGGTTTCAACTCATCTAAATCTACATCAACATTTTCATTTTCTTTCTAAATAATTTCAAATAAGATATCATCTAAAAACTGAAGCTTTCAATTAAGAAAAAAAAGAGAAGTTTATGTACGACAAAGTCATTTACCGTAATTCTCCAAGTACATTCCGCATTGGTCGTGTACCTCCTAGGAAAGAAGTATCCAGGTGTATTTAAGAATCTGTAGCATGATGTGGCATATCTATACTTGTATCCACATCCAGCAGTCGCTAAATTCAGATGAATGAAATATTACATCATGTGCTTTATGAAAAATGTTAAGTGAGTTTTAAGTTTATTTTAAGACAGTTTTGAATTCGTTGTCAAAGTATATTGATTAACATTGAGTATTTGTGTTCCTAGGTTCTAAAACAAGAACTATCTAACAAAGAACCGCGAACGATAGCATTGTTCTCCCGTCTACCTCCAAGTCAATTTTCAAAAGTTAACAAATTCGATGAATTTAACATATTTTTGTATAGATAATTATATGAATTTTCATAAAACATTACTTATTTGGGAACACAAAGAGAGATAACTCTAAAATTTTGGTAAAACTTGTGTTTTTCAATATAGAAATCAACGGAAAACGGAAAATATTTTTAAAACATCTTTTCCCCCCGTGACACAAAAATTTCTTTATACAGGTAATATAGACAGTTATTTCACAAATTCATACCAAAGATTTTTGTGTGTCACTGGTTGGGGGGGGGGGGGGCGTATGTTTATTGACGACAAGAATGCTTATTTTCCACCAATTTCAAAGCGATTTACAACTGAAACATTATATTTATTGATATATTTCTGTTTTATTTATTTGCCTAAAACATAAGAAAAGATATAAGGAACATTTAATCACATCCAAAATTATTTCAAAATATGGTGATGCTTGAAAGTCCGATTTCAATGGAAAATATCGTCTATTCCCCTTTCTTCCAGAGCTGGAGTTACGGATAATTTACTATTTAGTGCTGCTATTAAGACAATTCATCTATTTCTACTGAACTGTTCTTTGTATTAAACAAAGAATTTATGGCCAAATTGCTATGTATATTGAATTAAATGGTTGCAAAATGTAGGCGGGAATCGAGAGTTAGCATGCGTATTTCTTTGCTGAATTACCTTTCTTTGCCGAAAAATGAAAACAGTTAAATAATTTTAATTCGAGACCATGCAAAGTATGAATCAATAATTTATCAGTTTAATTGATTTGACACAAATTAAGTTTTTTCATATCTTACTCCCATCTATGTTTCAGAAAATTCCAAATATCTAAAGAAATATTACTTTTCAATAAGAAAGATTGCTTAACAAAGTTAAGGCTGATATTATGTTTTACAATATGAAGAGTGAACTTCTTACTAGGGTTCTTTACAGCCTGACAATACCGTCCAATCCAACCATCCGGGCACTTGCAACGTCCACAACTTCTGGGATCTCTGTATCCACCATTTTTGCATGATGACCATGTTAATCCCCCAGAGCATCTGCCTTTAATGTAGAATAAAAGGTTTTATACACAATTCCTGGGAGAAAAATATTTTGCATAAAGATGTACTTATATTTTTATGTATATATTATGCTCACAAGAAAATGTAACCACAGCCATGACAAAGGAACACTAAGAAAGAAACTCAAAAATACTTTATCGGCTTAATTGTTTCAACATGAATGTTCTGACATTAATTCGTTAATTTCAGATTATATTTTGAGCTTTAGTAAAAAAAAAAGTAACTGGCATTCTAGTGTAAAAATAACAAAAAAACATTATAAAATAGAGATTTTCTTTTAGGTCTCACATACTCTGACAATAGTGGTAGTTAATAGCTCTGATATCATTGAATGATAAACCGACTCTTTGTCCCATTGTCCTTGTGTAATCGCTCTGCTTGGCAACAATTGTCTTAAGCCCGGCTGACTTTGCAAAAGCCTGTCAAATTTCAAGTAAGCATTATCTAAAATCTTTTAATTGATCAAACTATTTCTAAAACCATCAAAATTGTAATTATATTTTCTCATTTCCCATAAATAAATAAAGATTCCCTCACCGTGTCAGAATAGTGCATGACTGATGCGTAGTCGTATGGTGTTCCATAGGTTACTCCGGGTCTTTTCAAGAAGTTGTTTTCTCGCCCACTTGCAATGTTATTTGTTATTATCGAGACAAAGGTATCTCTGTCCTGTCTGCTTTGCTCGTGCCACAAACCCAGGGCATGTCCGATCTCATGGAGGATTATTCCTGACTAAAATGGAAATTTCTTAAAGTGTTTAAAGTGAAAGAGAATACTTTCAGTAATCGAATTCGAAAGATCGTATAAACTCATATTGGCCTTTTCTGAAAAATGTCTTTTTAAAGCATATCGGTATAGATTTTAAAAACAGTAACGGGTAGAGATATTCTGGAATTTTGGCATGCGTATGAAAAATAAGATAAAAAGCTCAATGCTTGACTTACGTGTTTACAACCATTTTGAAGATTTATATCGTTAATACCAGAACTTCTTTTGCCAACATAAGACCAGCACCTATAAAATCAAAAACTCATCTTAACATTCTTTCTCAATTAATCTTTCCACTTTCAAAATGAAAATTTAAACAAGATTAAGCAAAGATTGAAGGAAACACATATCAATAATGTTTGATATATCTGTTTTAAATTGACAATTATTAAATGTAATTTAAGCTATTGTATGTTGACTTTCGTAACCTCGGTTATTGTTACCTTATTTCATGGTACAAAAAAAAAAAAGAAAAGAAAAAACAACAACAATAAAAAAAGCTTGCTTAACAGACGGATTTAGACACCATTTAAATATTTCAAAATTTAATTTACTAAGCGTCTAACCTAAAATCATATTTTTCATTCCGAAAAAAGAACACTTAAACCTTAAGGGAAAACACATCATTATAAGAATTGTAAAATTTCAAATCACCATCTATTTATTTTTGCATTATAAAAAATAAACTATTCGCTTATGAAATTATTGGTATGCAATTCGAAATGACAATTTCAAAAGGGTAAATGTATTTGTAGGCTTTTTTTTTTTTCATTTTTCGCGTGTCTTTGATTCTAATTTCATAACATCAAAACCAATACGTCTGAGGACGCTTAACTTAGAAAAGAAATGATATGGTATCATTCATACCCAGCAGCATTCTCCTTAAAATTGATTGCTGGTGCAGAAATTGACGATCTTTCAACGAATGAAATGCAGGTTTGCTGTTGCCAGATGTTTACTGCTTGCTTTATCAGAGTTTCTGCAATAGAATAATATATATATATATATATATATATATATATATATATATATATATATATATATATATATATATATATATATATATATATATATATATATATATATATATATATATATATATATATCATTTTACAATTATTAAAGGAGGCACAAAATGAACGACCGTCAAGAAAATATTAAATTTGAAAAAAAATGTTTCTATAAATAACAGGATGAATTGAAGGTTGCATTTCACAATGCTAAATTATTTTTATCCATCCTAACTATTTAAGTGTATTGATATATTTTGTTGTGAACTAGCTAAACCAGTTTTAAAACAATCGCAAGCCATTTTCGAAAACTAGAAAATAATTTCATTTCTTACTGTGTGCTGGAGAAGCAATTTGCAATCGGTAATTGATTGGAAAAGTCCATTTTGGAACATTATACACTTTTCGTTTATCAATTGGTTCAGGTGCCTATTAGGAAAAAAATGAAGTGTTTCAGACAATATTTCATATGTTTTATTATATTGTGAAATATTTCTTGTGTTCAAGTCACCCATTTACATCCTGAAAAGAGGATCTAAAAGTGTGAAGGAAAGAAGAACATTTTCCTCGAATGATGTCCTCTTGATTACAACAATTGATCTTCATCTCCGCAAGTTTTTGAATAAACAAATCAATTAACTGCATTAGGATCATAGGAAGGAAAAATAAAAAGGAATTAGATCCTCTTCCTTCCATCATTCAAGTTTCAATAAAAACGTTTAAGTATTTTTAAAGATAAAGTGAATTTAAAACGCTTATCCTTGGTGATTTTATTGAATAATTCAATAAAAAATCAGAGTTAATTTTATGTTTCGATTTTTTATATCTTTCTACAACACACCATTTATCCTTTGCAAAAAGACCACATAAAGTCAGTAAAAAAATAGAATATAGAAAAAAAACCGTTCAAATAATTTTTTGAAAAAGCTTTTTCGTTTTTATGACTTATGCCGATTTCAAAAAAATAATTCATTTTCTGTAACTATAATAACTATACAATTCTTATTGTTTTAATTCCCAATTGTTTAACATCCTTACAGGTTTTTTTTGTCGTGAAAACCATTTATTTTATTATACCATGTATGTTCTCCTCGTATTTTTGGGGAAAAAAATGTGCAGGTTTAAAACGTATTTTTTGTACAACTTACAGATACTTCTGATCCGTTGTTGTTCAGTCTTAGGAATTGGGGATTTCTTTTGTAAAAGTCTACAAGTTCGGCTGCAGATTCTTTGTCTAATTTCACATCACCATCTATCATATCAATGTCTTCCATGCTTCGTTTTGAGGTCTAAAGAATACAAAAGGAAAAACGTGTTTATATATAATATATTAAAACAACATTTTCTACTAAAACGTGCTTCGTATTTATTTAAAAACTATCAAAACATTTCTTTACGATACCCTAATTACAAGTTAAATATCATAAATAAATTTACTTTTAATCCTTGATTTGCTGAGCTTATCATTTCATCCAGTTGGGACATTGATGATGCCAGGGAGCTATCAAAAGCTCGCTCTTCTTTTTCCTCGCCCTCGGAGAAGTCTCTTGCTGAAGGTTTGGTTTCATCTGGTTCTTCTTCAGAATTTTCTCCATTTTCTACAGAACTGTCTTGCTTACTTTCTCTTTCATCATCATCATCGTCTGCCTCGAAGTCCTCAAAATTTCTTTCACCGAAATTTGTTTCGTCAGTGTCAGCTTCGTCCAATAGTTCACGAAGGCTTTCTGAGGCAATTTTCCCGTTTTCGTCTTTGTCTACGGGATTAGCAACTAAAACTGCAAAAAGTGCTGTAATAATAATTAGTTTCAGCATGATGGCGATATTTTGAATTTTTTAGAAATATTATCTCTTAATATATATACCTTCAAATCAGGATGTATTTTTGAATTTCGCAATATTGCTCCATAGAAACTCTAATGTAAATAACACTTGCTACCCAATCATATTCAGCATTTAATTTAATAGAAGTTGGAAAATTTTCAATTCTATTTTTGTGCAAATAGATTTGGAATTTGATCTTTATTTTTTTTTTCTCTAAAATGTTGATTTAAGAGAGGACCTTTATCAAACTAAATAAACTACGAAAATCATATTAACATGTAATCACCGCAATATTATATGAAACATATACGAACAGTATTCAAAATCAAGTGTCCATAAAACAATACAAAACAGGAGCAGAGCAAACACGGACCTACAAAACATCAGATGTGGGATATTGTGCCATGGACGATCGAGCATCACCCGATGTGTATTTTTTTCTAAATTTAATTAAGCTATGTATGTAGAAACTAAAAATATACTTGGCAAAAAAAGTTTAAGACTTTAAATATCAGCTCCTTGTCCTAATTGGGAAATAACAGAAAAATACGTCATCAATTCAGTGTATAATTAATGAACTAACAATTTGAATGAAAAACGTCAGTCAACATTTGACTCCATGATAAACAGTATTTGCTGACAAGGTCATTGTATCAATTATAAGACTTACGAAATGATGTCTTTAACCCCTTAAATGGCATATACGCATTTCTACGCATCTGACTGGAAAAACAAGTACGGTGTGAAAAAACATTCATAACTTCAATAATACTGCAAATATCAGATAAATTTTGCACCGATGGAAAGAGAAGATGATTACGGTAAAATAATATACAGAATTTTTTTCATTAGTTGTACCAGTTTTTTGTTAGCTTGAGTTAGACTTTGCACATTAATTGAGCTATTTTGCCATTATCGAAATCAATGCAGGGGTAACTTGTTATATGTAAAAATGCTAAATTCTGGTGATTACCTCCCAACCCCCCATCCCCCAAAATACTCAAAATTGGTTTGTTAAAAAAATGTACAGTATGCTCACAGTTTTCAACACAACAATAAAATATTTTTTATAATATGTACACATATAATAAATGAAAATTCTAGCATGATTATGGTGTATTTCGTTGCCATGGCAACTGAAATTATATATTTAGAATCATTTTCAAAAACTACAAAATACCTGCTTTCTGAATATATATACATTTCTATATACAAAAATTACAAGAAATACTTATAACAATGCATTAAAATCTTAATATCAATTTGTCTAGAAATGCATAAAATCTTTGCCATGGAAGGATTTATCAACATGTTTGTCAATAATTTACCTTGTTTTAGAAATTTTATATATGTAGAGCATGATCTTGCGTATCGAACCAGCTGAGATGAGGTATATAATCTCCGTATGCAGGCGATGAAGGTATATTGCTGCATAAGTAAAGGGAAGTTGACAATAAAACAGTTAAAGTCATCGTCATCGATATATCTAAATAGCGAGTTGAAGGCCACAGCAACTGTTTTTTTTTTTCTTTTCACGCATAAGATTTTGTATAAATTCTGCTTCATATGAATATATAAAAAAGGTCTGCTAATAACGGGGCGCAATTGGTACCCATGAGAATTCCAACGGATTGTTGGAAGACCTGCCCTCCAAAAACAACATAGATATTGTCAATAAGAAACTCAAGCATCTTTTTGATGTCGACATCAGAGTACTTGTGTGTACAATCAAAATGTTTTTAACAAAATAATATTGCAAATGACCAATGGCAAGGTACATGTAAGTAAACTGGCGAGTTCCATTTTTATTGAAAAAGCAGCTGTCAATGATATTGAAAAGCCTGGACTTTACTTTATTATGGGGAATGGTTGTGTATAAAAGTCGTTATGTTTTAAACTGTTGATTTTGGTAAAATCTTTTGAATTCAAATTGTCCAAAAGTTCCTTGGACTTTTTAGGTATCCACATCTGATTTGCATCACTTCTTGAATATATTGGTGCACAGTACTCTTGAGATTTTAAATCCATTTTAATATCAGATTTCGCGGGTATGTTAAGGAAGCATATAAGTCATTTCTCGGGAAATTTAGACTTTTTAAAGAAAATTAAATTTGATTATTTACCAGAACCGCCGATAAAAGTAAACTATTATTTTCTATTACATAAAAATAAAAGAGTGTCTAATGCAAAGACGTGCACCACCACCACGGTATCACGTGACTTCTATCAATAGCGAAATTTTCCTTAATAAAAAAGCTAACAGAACAACAATACCCCGGACTTTAATAATTTCTTTGAATAAATAGTATAGTTGAAAAACATCTATTTTGCCTAAAAAGTGCTGCTAGAATCCAACTGTCCTGTCAGTAAAATAATTATTCCACACATTCCTCTTAACCTCACCCGATGCTTTGACTTTTATACATATGAGCCGAGATTTTTCATAAAGCCATGCTTAACTCGGGATTCTAGCAGCAATTTCCAAGTATTTTAGGAGGTAAACTTTCCATCTGTACAAATCTTAGGTTTTGAAATATCCAGCTTTTTGTTGTTCTGTTGCAATATTTTAGTCACAAATCACAGAGGAAAGGCCGACAGGGATAAGTATATAGCTGACCGTCTTCGAAAAAGAATATAATCGATGAAAATAAATTAGTACACCTGCTTAATTAACTGAACTCCATATGATTTTCACAAAATATTCTCGATATTTGCCTTGAAACTCCATTTTACGTATCTTTGTACATACCGTCTCAGCCAAATTCTCTTTACACGGCATGATCAATTCCCAAGTTACTAGATGTACACACATGACGTCATCGGTGGTAGATTTTAATCAACATGACAGATACAGCATAACAAAATAAAACTATTTTATTTTTGTTAATGTTTAAACGTTTCTATTCATTTTCTAGAGTTAAAACACATCTCATAATAACAATATTACGAAACTTGTGTTTAAAAATTGACTTCATCTCGCCTACTATGACGTCATAATGTAGCACTGATTTAGTCAAGGTAAAATATTTTGTATGCTTCCTTATTACCCCTGCGTTCTTTCAATTGTTTTCCAAGAAATAGATGTAATCTTTTCTTGTATTTAGAATTCATATACTTTGTAGAATACATTTCAGATACATAAAATTAATTTCATTTCCCAGTATGATAAATAATATTTAAAGATTCAATGTAATCTATTATTCATTCCATGTGACATTATTAAAAATATTTATAATGTATAAAGGAACTTTTGCAAAAATAAAAAAAACAAGTTTAAATAATTCATGAACATTGTTATGTTTCAAATACTGTTTTCTCTGTCTGCAGTAATGTGCATCAAAATATTAATAAAATACTTTCTATGTTTCGTAAAATAAAATATATTTTAATAACAAAAAGAAGACAATCTGAAGTGCAAATAACGTGTTTGAAATATGGACTGGTGATTTAAAACATACCAAAATAGTCTTCATATAAACATGCGTACTGATGACGTGTACATAATATCTTTGAAATAATCATACGATGGCAAAATCGACGCATTAAATGGAGAGGTTACTGTAGAATATTTTTTGAAATAAACAAATAAACAATGATGATCAAAGGACAATGAGAATGTATATGTGTAAAATTTCGAATATTTTATTTTATATACATCTTATATCCTATATCCGCCTTCTCGGGTAACGGGATAATAGCTGAAATATATTTAAACACTAACTTACAAACTTTATGATGAAGAAATTGCTTTGTAAATGTCACCAACCAAAAATGAAATAGACCGAGATATATTTATCCGTAATCATAACCGTGATAAGCATAATATATTCATTATGGCTATATAATTCATATTTATTACAGTTTAATTCCTTCAATGTTTCATAACATGATTGTGTTTCCTCTTACTTCTTAATAATAACATTTGATTATAAACTCTGATGAATGAAAGTAGGTTTTACGGGTGCTGCATTAATGTCCACTTTGCCTTAACAACCTTTCATTCTAAAGAGAGAAAATGAGATAAAGATTTTTTTCACATTAAACACATCAAAATCATTGACCCAAATAACAAATGAGTTTTTTTGTATACTAAAATAAACGATATATAAAAAAAATTACCTTTGCTGATCAATAAAATATTTATATAAAATTGATTGTTGACTGAAGTATTTATTGGTCTGATGAGTTTTTACCCTTCATTTTATTGAACTCTGAACGATTCAAAATATGGGAAAAAATCATCCGTCTAAATAAATAACACATCTTGTAAAATTTTCGGGATAACACTGTCATTTAAAAAAAATGATAATATAAGCATTTACAAATGCTTAAATGCTTAATATTATCTTTTTTTAAATGACAGTGTTGTCCCGAAAATTTTACAAGAATGCTATTTCTCATAAATTTTTTCCCATAAATGTTCAGTATAATCACATATAATGTTCTGCAGTTTGACTCTGAATAAAACGTGCTGTCTTTGCGTATCTGAAGTTCTCCTAGATATTGCTATCTTGTTTTTGTTTACAATATTATTAAGTCTTAAAATGAAAACATGATGTAACATATAAAAGAAGTTTTTAAATTTACATTTACTAATGGTATTGATGAAGAAGAAGGTATAATGAAAGTTCTATTAATAAATAACATCTAAAATGTCTAGCCTTGTAGTAGCTTAAGGACGCTCTAAACACTGCACACTAAAGAGCTCTATTGATTGGGTAGTTTTATGCAGTTGAGTGATCTACCCTTAGATGTAAGATTAAAGAAATTGTTATTTACCGTTATTTACATTATTTATGATAGATTAAAACATTTTTAGCAAGAGTAAGAAATTTAATCAATTATTTTCATTAATTTTTCCAGTGTAAGTAAATACAGTGATTTCTGCTCACAAATATTTAATTGTCTTTGAACATTTTTCCTGTGCAAATAAGGCACGTACCCTATATTCTAAATGAATGAAAAAGTCTCAATATACATATCTTTATATGATATATTTTTCTCCGAGTCCAAAAAACAGTTTCT